ACACCGAGCTGACAGAAAAGCCTAGATCTGTTCATCCCAAGCCCTGAACCCTCCTGCATAATTGCACCTTCTCCACTCTGGAGAACTGTGACACCCACTCAAGTCTTACTTACTTCTCCCATGTCCAGAAGAAGGGATGACCTAGCAGGTCACCAACACTGTCTGTCATGTTTTCCCCAGGATAGAAGAGGTGGCGAATGAGATCCTCAGTCTCCTTATCTGGAGAAAGTTGAACCACTTCTTCATTATTTTTACCCTTCAGTGTCTCAAAAGGAATTTCTCCTTTCTTTACCACATAGAGGACCAGCCGTCCAAGGGCCTACACAAAAGCCACAAAGGTGCTTATGACATACCTTTCTATTTGGGTAACCTTGAAAGTACAACTGTTCATTTTGGTTTGATTCAATTGAGAAACGCTGAAGAGGTTAGTAAAGCCACACCTCTGGGTATATTGAAGGTTGTTTCTAGAGACCATTGGATCATGAGCATTCTAAACTAAAGAATGGCTTAATCCATTGAAAGCCTGAAATTTAAACAGACTCCAGGAGGTGGTGGAGTTGTGAAAGGCAGAGTGTGGTTGGAGGAAATAAGTCACTGGAAACACATCCTTAGAGACATAGCGCCTTCCTACTCTAGCTCTGCTCTACTTCCTGTCTGCCATGACGCAATCTGCTCAGCCACACCCTCCCTGCCATGATGATGTGAAACTGTGATCAAAATGTTTCCCCCAATAAATGATTCTCTTGGTGCTTTTTTTTTTTTTTTTTTAAATCACAGCTATATAAAAGTAATAAACAGAGAAGTTGTGATGCTGGTTTTGTACAAGTGAAAGATGGGGAAAAATCTCATGTAGTCTGCCAGCATGTTAAGGAGAGAAGACACAGATCTGTACACAGAGGCTCCTTCAATGCAGTACATGGTTTTGGCTTATATAGAACAAAAGATAATCCTGGGCCAGAGTTGTCAGTAAAAGAAAAAAAAAAAAGAACAAAAAACTTCTTGTTATTAAAGAGATTTGAGTTGGACCCTGAGAGAGTATATATAAATCAGAGGAGAGTGTTTACAGAGGCGAGAGGGGAACTGGGGCTTTGGGTCTAGGGTTACATGAGGCTGCAGATAATAGCACTTATGCATGTTGGATGAGATATAAAGGCTGGCCTTCGCAGGGAGGAAAGATAAAGGATTGGCATAGGAGTCATCAATACTAAATATCTGTAAGAGAGGTGTGGAAATATGGAGCCACCCAACCAAGAAGCCAGCATGGTAGGTGCAAAGCCCCTACCTATTTGTTACTGTCCAGAACAGAACTACCCAACAGGGGTCTTGAGGGTTCATTCTGTCTGCCCAGGCCCCTTGTCCTCTTAACAGCTATTTCAGGATCTTCACTTTTTTTGGCCAAGGTTTATCTCTTCCAAGTCCAGGACTAATTCTAATCCCACCCATTGCAGAAAAGCTCTAGCCTTCCTCAGAGCTCAGCACATGAGAGAGCTGAATAGAGTGGGAGAAGAAATCCCATTTACTTTACTCTCAGGCAAAAAGAATACCTCTCAGAGGAATATAGGAGATATTCGGAAATATTTCCTGGAAGAGATAATACAGGCTCAATTTAGTTACTTATTTAGCTAATGAAAGGAGAAAGAGAGAGGAGAATCAGAAAGGAGTCATAGCAAAAGGCAACTGCACATTGATCCTGCCTTTTCCTGTTCTCAGCAGCTTGCAAACTCAGCTACAAAAGAAACCCAAGGAAACATTTCAGTCTACAGCAAGAGAGGGCAGTGGACAAGGCCGGAAACCTAGAAAGATCTTTCTCTCCTTCCTCTTTAAAATAAAGACATTCTTTAGTTTTCCCTAGAAACTAAAATAACAAACAAATAAGGAAACAGAAGAAAAAGAAATCTAGATTGCAAAAATTACCTCTAGATCTCTCCTGATTTCCTGTGGATCTCCAGTCCCCTTAATGCTCTGATCAAAATCTGCCAGGCGAACTGCATCCTTGGAATCTAAGGAATAGTTTACAGAGGTACACGAAAATACACATTATCCATGATGTGACAGTCAACTCATTTAGATATGCTATACAATTCATCAATCTCTCTACAAGGTGAGTAATACTATTTTTTCCTCAAAAACTGCTGTGTTCATTATTTTATTTGATCTCCTAGGTATCTGCCAAGAAAAGGACATGCATTTCATATTTTTCCAGGCCAGAAAATCGAAAAGGATAAAGAATATAGATGAACAAGTTCCTCATTCATTCAGTTATTAGGGCCAAGTACCCAGATTTATAAGGAGCTGTTGGTAGCAGTTAAGATTACCTCTGATGGAAGGGTATGACATTGTCCAAAAAGAAATGTACACATTACCTGAATTGTGAAATGGTAACCCCTCTGTATAGCACCTTAATGACAACAATAACATCGTATTTTTTTTGAAAGTTAATCTGGCCTCTGGAACGGATCTGTGCAGTCTTGAGAGAGTGGGTTTGTGATAAAGCACCTTTGAGACTATCTGGTCCTTCCTTCCTTCACAGCAAGGGGACCTTTGCTAATGCTAGGCTGCTCTTGGACTTCCTAGCCTCTAGAACAGAGACAAATCTTTGTTCTCTATCATCTACCCCGTCCGTGGTCTTCTGTCATAGTAGCATAAAGAGGACCAAGGGGAGGACTCACCTATTAAGAAGTTTTGTGGCTGCAGATCCTGGTGAGTGTATCCATGAGACACGTGTAAATCTCGAACTGCCTCAAAGATCGACAGTAGGGTATTGGGGGCAAGGGCGTCTTCCCGACTCTGCAGGCCTTCCTCTGGGCGCCCCTGCAGACGCTCTTCCAGGGTCTGTTCACAGAGGGCCATGCACACGTACACGCACCCCCTGTGGCTCTCGCTCCCATAGAGCGTCACGAAGTGACTGCTGTCCCGGCAGCTTCGCAAGCAGGCCATTTCCTGGCGCGCCTCTGGGCTGCCTTCCGGGAACAGCTTCACAGCCGCCTCTCGGCCCTCGTAGAACCCCAGGTAGATGCCCCCTTTAGACGTGTCTGCGATTTTATACTCCTCCACCATGAAGATCTTCAGCTTGCCGATTGGTGGGCGGTATATCCGGTGGAGGCTCTTCAGGGCTCTTCCCCAGTGTGAGCTCTGCGGCTCCCAGTCCTCCTCCGCCGCCGCCGCAGGAGGCTGGACATGTTCTTGGGCCCCGTACTCGCGGAGAAGCTTGAGGAGGGCCTGGTCGTACTGCCGCCTGGCGGTCCTCATCAGATCCCCGCAGCTCACGCTGGCCCCGCGATCGCACAAGGCGCGCACCATCTCCCGGCTTCCCAGCTCCACGGCCGCGCGCAGGGCGGTGGTGCCCTCGTGGTCCGTGTCATCGATCTCCAAGGCGTCCTGTTCCAGAAGCATCCGCACCAACGCCAGGCGTCGCTTCTCCACCGCCAGGATCAGCGGCGTCTTCCCTTGCTCGCCTCTCACCCGGACGTCAGCCCCGTGGTCCAGCAGGAGCCCGGCCACAGCTTCGGCCTGGTCGCCGCCGTCCAGAAGAGCGTGGATCAGGGCGCTTCTGCCCATGTTGTCCCGGGCGTTGACGTCGGCCCCCATCTCCTCCAGGAGGATCCTCACCACATCCACGTGGCCCCTTTCCGCCGCGTCCATGAGCGCCGTGGCCCCTCCTCCCCTCAGCGGCCTGCGGTCCTCCGGGGTCTCTCGGCTCGCATTCACGTCCGCCCCCTGCTCGAAGAGGAACCGCAGCGCTTCCACCCGGCCGTGCCAGGCGGCCTCCATGAAGGCCGTGAAGCCATTCGAGTCACGCTCGTTGACATCCGCGCCCCTAGACAGGAACAGCCGGAGGAGATGCACGTGCCCGCCGATGCCCGCCACGATGAAGGGCGTGGCCCCGTTCCGCTTCCTGCGCCCAGGCTCGGCGCCATAACGCAGCAGAAGCTCCACCAGGTCCTGCCGGCCGCACTCCGCCGCGTTGTGCAGCGGGGTCCAGCCCCACTCGTCGCTCTCGTTGGCATCGGCTCCTCCCTCCAGCAGCCGCCGCAGCCCATCCTCGTCCTCCTCTTGCACAGCCTGGATCACCCAAAGCCGGGGTTCTGCCATGGAATCGCTACGGCTGGAAGGCTTGGAGGCCTCTTGCTGAGCACCCTGCGTCTCCATGATGGTCAGCGCCAGTGGTGACAACCTTCTGCTTCTTTTTTGTTTCCCCCTCGAGAAAGTGAAAACGTTTTGCTTTGGGGCTGGATCACAGTCAAGGGGACATGGCCTCTGGGGGCCCAGTGGGGTTCTCTGTCTGAAGAAGAGCCATGGGCTCGGTTTGATGGGAGTCCACTTGGAAATCATGGCATTGTGGGGTGGGGGAGAGGGGCATAGCGGAATCTCACAAAACATTTTTGGCTAGCTACCTTTTCTATTTATTATGGTATTTATAAATTACAGAATATTATGAACGTATGACTCTAGAATCCTACTACCAGAAACAGCCACTAGTAATATTCAGTACGTATCTATAGATTTCTTAAGAGTTGGGATCTCGTTGGGATTGTGCTCTATACCAGGATAAAGGAACCTTTTATTCTGATACCTTCAAGCTAATTCTGTACTATAATTCCCTAAGTTATTGCAAAGCATTTTCAAACTTTTTGGGGGGAGGGGCAGCTTTAGGGCTTGAATTCGGGGCCTGGGCACTGTCGCTGAGCTTTTGTGCTCCACCACTTGAGCCACAACTCCACTTCCAGCTTTTTGGTGGTTGAGACTCATGGACTTTCCTGTGCAGGCTGGCTTCAAACTGTGATCCTCAGATCTCAGCCTCCCAAGTAGCTAGAGTTGCAGGCATAAGCCACCAGCACCCAACCAGTTTTCAAACATTTTAATGGTGTTTCAATATGCCATCCTATGCTTGTTTCATTTCCCTATCACAGACTGACTTCCCCAAATATTTGGACAGTATTTTTCTTGTTCTGTTTTTTTTTTCTTTTACTTACTTATGATCTATTTATTTATTTATTTTACCTCAGACCGGTAATGTGCTTACATCCTAAGAAGGTTTGAGAGAGGCACACGTCACACAAGCACCTGAGAACTCAATCATCACGCTGTGAACCGGAAAGGATCTTGTTATTACCTTTAGTTGTACAAAGGCATTTCATTGTAATTCAACATGTCAGTGCATCTTGATCGGTGGCATCTCTTCCATGATTCTCTCATCCATCTGTCCCATAACCACCTATCTCCTCAAGCTTCCTACCTCTGTTTTCACTTAGGTATATTCAGTATTATGACTGTATTTACCCACCATCCCTCTGTTCACTTATACTTCTCCTTTTCTTTAATCCCCACCCCCCACAGAGAAGAAGTTTCAAATCTCTAGTATTCATTTTGTTAAACTGTTTAAATGATTTTTTAATTTAAAATTTTTAAGCAATTCCCGCTTACATTTAAATTACAGGCTCACGCCTGTAATCCTAGCTACTCAGGAGGCTGAGATCCGAGGATCTCGGTCCAAAGCCAGCCTGGGCAGGAAAGTCCATCAGACTCTTATCTCCAATTAACCACCAGAAACCCAAAAGTGGCACTGTGGCTCAAAGAGTAGAGCATTCACCTTGAGCTGAAGAGCACAGGGACAGTGCCCAAGCCCAGAGTTCAAGCACCATGACCAACCAAAAAAAAAAAAAAAAAATTAAGCAATTTCCAATGATACTATAAATTCAGACTCTTTCAGCTTATTTTCTTATACTGTTGCACATGGAAATATCACAATGAAGCCCTTTTGTATAGTTAATACATGCTAATAAAAAAGAGGAAGAGATAAACATATTCTTACCATCAAGTAATGGCTTTAAAAAAACAAGCAACACTTTACTCATAGGAAAAATGTATTCCATGGTTTTTGTCCATTTGCATTTTTAAAAATCTCCATCAGGGTCTGTCCTTGTGCCTGATTATCTCACGTATTCTTTTTATGACCGTGTACCTCAATTCAAAGTAGTGGTGGCTTCCTACCTCAGTGAGTGCTGAGTTTGAGCCCCGGGTTTTGTAGCTTTTGACTGTTACTTCCTGGTTGCATAATCTTAGATTGTTGAGTCCTAATTTTCCGTTTCTTGAAATGAAAAAATCACAATAAATATGATCCTGTGTGTAAAGTACGTTAAAATACAATGGGCAGCAAATATTAGGCCCTCACTGAAAAAGATTTTTATGAACACTATTGGCCTACCACTGTTTGTGTAAATATTACTCAAACAGGAAGCTGGACATGTACCTTTAGTCTATCTACCCTCAACCGGCTCTGGATACTGTAGATTTAAGTCATCAGATAGCCTTAAACTGTGTGTGCTCTGTGTGTGTGTGTGTGTGTGTGTGTGTGTGTGTGTGTGTGTGCATGCACTGATTCTGGGGCTTGAATTCAGACTCTGAGCACTGTACCTTAGTTGTTTCACTCAAGGCTGATGATCTTCCAGGTAAGTCATAGTTCCACTTTTGTGTGGGTTTTTTTCTTGCCTTTGTTTTGATTTAGTTTTGGTTTTGGTGGCCAATTAGAGATAAGAGTCTCAGACTTTCCTGCCTGGGCCAGCTTCAAACTATGATCCTCAGATCTTTGCCTCCTGAGTAGCTAGGATTTGAGGCATGAGCCATCGGCAGCCAGTTTATTACCTGAACATTTATATTACTGCATCAGCTACAAATTCCACAAAGCCACAATTTGTAAGGTCTAATGAATTTTACAACATAAACAGGATTGTCTGACGATGAAATTGTTGAAGCAAAGTGTCTGAGTGGACAGTCCTGGTGACTTACTACCTGATCGCAGGCAGGCAGGCATGAATTAAAGAGCAAAGAAGAAAAGAGCAGCCTGGGAGAGCGTGAGTGAAGCAACAGCCCCAGGAGAAGAAAGCAGGCAGCAAACCTGCCACGCTTTCACTTTCATTTGCTCCAGGCATACAAAGGAGTCTGAGAAAGCAGACTTAAATAAGTAATGGATGGATGATGACAAACTCTTGCCAAAAAAAATCTATGCTCAGAAGCCCTGGGCGCCTTCGAGGTAGACAGAGAGCTCTGACTACTCTGACTACTCTTTTGGTCCCTTTCCTCTCTAGACCCCCACAGCCGACGGATAAGAATCTTCTCAAGCTTTCCCAGCTCTTCTGCCCTTCTTACCTGCCCAACTCCAGCTCCTCTCCTCTGCAGCCATTGGTTCAGTGGCAATGAGTTCTTGAAGACTGTGCCCAGCAGGAAATGGCTTGTTGCTGAGCTGACTGGGTGGAGCAAAAGAAAGAAGTGGAGGAAGGGAAAAGCAAAGGGCAAGCCACAGATGGGGCTCACCCTCAACAGACACACCGTGTGTGTGTGTGTGTGTGTGTGTGTGTCTGTGTGTGTGTCTGTGTGTGTGTCTGTGTACATGTGTGTGTATGCATGAGTGCACGCACCAGTCCTGTAGCTTAAACTCAGGGTCTGGGCTCAGTCCATGATTTTTTGTGCTCAATGCTAGTGCTCTACCGCTTGAGCCAGAGCTCCACTTTGGCTTTTTGTTTTTGTTGCTGTTGTTGTTGAGTAGTTTATTGGAGGTAAGAGTCTCATGGACTTTCCTACCTAAGCTGGGTTCAAACTGCAATCCTTAGATCTCCTGAGTAGCTAGGGTTACAGGTATGAGCTCCAGCACAGACACTTTTAAACAAATCCCTGGCCTGTCCCTTTCTTCTGATGTCTGATTGAGTGTCAAGGGTCATGCTGACCAGCTTTGCGCCTCTCAACTTGTCATTCACAACTCCTGGATCTTTTCTCTGTTGTTGAAAAAAAATAAAAGAATGCAAAATAAACACTTAACCCAATATCTATGTGATTCATTTTAATCATGGGCCACTATGTTTCCAGTGACTATCGCTTGTGATACCGTGGTTTGCCTGCACACACAGAGTTCTGCGTGGAGTTTATCCTAGTGGCAAGAAATGGATCATAATCAGCAGGGAGAAGAAAACCTACCACAGAATAGGTTTTCGAGTTATGATGTAGACTCTGTCCCCACTCCAACCACCCAGTGCCCAGTACATCACACTGCTTCTCACACTTGTGTCTTTGTATGTGTTGTGTTATATGCAAATACATAATAATAGTAATAACATAATTATTAGGTTAAGGATAGCAGACATTCACAGAGCTCTTCAATGAATTCTAGGAACTGCTAAGGATATTTTACAGGAATTAACTCAAATACTCTAATCTTCTTTACAGATGAGGAAACCAAAGCAGTTAACTACTTGCTCTACTCTGGAGTTTTGGGCTCTATCACTGAACAACACAGAAGAGACACCTGACTTCCATTCTCATTGCAGCCAGACAATGAACAAAAGAAGCACACCGTATAGTATATTTTACAGTGGAAATGTACAGGGAATAGTAGAATAAAAGGATCAACAATGGCAGGACAGGGACTGCAATTTTCCTCAGGGGAGTTGGGAAGGCCTTACTCAGAAGGTGACATCTGAGCAAAGATGAGGAAAATGCAGAAACATGAGTATGAATGCCTGGACAAGTGCCTAGTCGCTAAGACAGGAACACTCCTGATGTGACCAAGGAGGAGGCTGGAGGCCAGTGAGGAGAGAGGTTTCCAATGGCTTAGGGAACATTAATAGGACTTCACCTTCTACTCATCCAGATGACCAGGGTGCAACCGAGGAGTAAAATTATTACCTGGCGGCTGATTCTCTGGGTCTGACTGCTTGTTCCAGCTGACTGTCTGAGTCTCAAGGTCCTCCTGAGCCAGCCTGACCATCAGCAACAATCCCTTACCATAAAGTTCCCAATGACATCCCGCTGACTATACAGTTCTGTCTATGCCCTCTGTCTTGATGGAGTCAGCCTGCCAGTCTCTCTGGCATTAAACTCCCCCCCACCAACCCTCCCTCAGACATGTGTGTATGCTTTATCCAGTGGAGACATCTAACAAATATGATCTGCATTCTATTTTTAGAGGATCATTTTCAACGCTGTGTTAAAAAGACTTGAATTAAAGGTAGAACTGGGAAGTCAGTTAGGAGGCATTAATCTGAGTTGGAATTGAGGCTGACTCCGTATTTGAGTCCTTGTGTAATGAACTGCAGCTGCACTGAGTACACTAACTGTGACAAACAGCTGTGCGTCAGCCAATCAGAGCAGCGAAGCTTCAGTGAACTGTGGGAAGCCAACTGATAGGCCAAGCTGCAACCAATGGAAAGGTCTTGAAATCTCATTTCTACTTTCTCTCCATACATGCTGCCCGACCTGGAATTCTCCAAACTTGTTCTATCTGACCCACAAGTCATTCTTTGATCACATAAAGTCTACTGAGTGTAATTTGTCTTAAGTTTTCCTTTTGACAGAGGGCAAATAACCCAGCTGAGATCCAATGCCAGCTTAGAGCTGAGGTAGCAGTAGATATCAATTTGTCCCAAAGAGAAGAGATGGTAAAGAGTCTTGGAAAGCCAGTCTTTCTTGTCATGATGACACATGTGTATTTCAGCCCAGTGAGTAGGGACACACCTGCGGTGAAACACAAGGTAACTATTGACACCAGAAAGAACTCAGCCCAGGATCCACAGTGTATCTTAAGAAGAGAAACATCTGACGGCAAGGAACAGCAGACTTGTCCCAGGATTTGGGCTGCTAAGTGATTTGGAGCTCAAGGAAACAGGGATTTGTTCTAAGTTGGGTGCTGTTAGGAGCCATTTTAGGATTGAGACTGTAATTATTATCATCCTGGGATCTGGGGAAAAAAACAAAGTGGAGCTAGAGCTATCTACTCTCAGGAGCCAGAAGAGGCACCATTCAGTTATTTTTCTGGTGATACAGAAGCTTCCTGTTTAATGGTCACTTCCATTAAGAAGTGGCCTTAGTTGTTTTTTTTTTTCTACCATGGTTATGGGTGACCTAACCTAATTATTCATGCATGGAGGTGTTTGTGTTCAATGGGAAGAGCACATACATACGGCCTCTCTGAATGTAGCTGCCAGTTGCCAGGGCCATCTTTCTCATTTTTTGCTTGTTTTCTCTCCTCTCATATTAGAGTGAAGTTATAGTTCCAAAGATGGTGACTTTATATGTTGAAAACTAAGCACTAATTAAAAAACAAAAACACTAT